AAATTGTTGGCCTCCCAATTGAAGTCGTTGATCCTTTTAGTGAGGACGAAGACAAAGATGAAATTCTCAGCCAATAACAAGATGATTAAGAGGACGAACAACCACATATCCCTACACATGCACCAAGCTTCATGGAACCATACAACCCACCATAACATTTTCTTAACGTTGAAATTCACATTCAATAACAAGACCCAAAGTATGGTCATGCATTGGACAAAGAGTCTTTTATTTATCCGCCAGGAAATCTATTTCTTGGACAACATTTTAAAACAAAAGAACAAGTTCAAGATGTCATCAACCGCTTTCACATTGTCAATCACTACACATAAAAGGTGAAAATTTCAAACCAAAGTAGATATGTTGTTCAATGTGTTGATAACCAATGCAGCTGGAGATGTCGAGCGATATAGCACACAAGAGAGCAATATTGGGAGATTATGAAGCTTGAAGGGTACCATACATTTGTTTCGCCATTAATCAGCCAAGACCATAACAAGTTGGGATATAAAATGATTTTCCAAAAAATTGGTCAAATAATTGATGTTGATCCGTCAACACCAATCTCCACAATCATAGCCCACATCCAATTAACAACAGATTACACTATAACGTACATGAAGGCCTAGCTGGCCAAACAAAAGGCAATGGAGACCATTTACAACAATTGGGAGGATTCGTATAAGAAGTTTCCTTATTTCTTACAAGTCATGCAACAATTTGTTCCCAAATTCATCTACAAACTACAGTCACAACCAGCTTACCAAGGTGAGGTCCTTTAACAAAATTCAAATATTTTTAAGCATGTGTTTTGGATGTTTAGGCCATGCATAAATGGATTTGTTCACTGCAAGCTCATTGTTCAAGTGGACGGAACTTTTTTGTATGAAAAGTATAAAGGTACCTTGTTGGTTGCAGTAGCACAAAATGGCCGCAACAACATCCTCCTCATTGCATTTGCATTGGTCGAAGGTGAAACTAGTGATGCTTGGTTTTTTTTCTTAAAACACGTCCAAAGATATGTCACACCCTAGTAAGGATTATGCCTCATATCAGATCGACATGAATCCATTAGAAGTGCATACATGAGAAATGGAAGCGGATGGACAGAAAATAATTCAGTGCATGTCTACTGCATTAGACACATTGCACCGAAATTTATGAGAGTTTCAAAAACACCGCACTAAGGAAAGATGTTATAAATATGGGTAATTCCTTTGCTTCAAATTTGTTACAATTTATTCATTATTTAACTATTGCTAATAAATATTTATATTAACTATGTTTTTTTAATATTGTTGTAGCATATGAGATGACTGAACCACAATTATACTACTATTACAACATCTTGAGACAATGTGACATAGAAGAAGCTAATTGGTTGAATGAGATACCTAGAGAAAAATGGGCACTTGCATGGGACAATGAACAGCGTTGAGGCCACATGACGACCAACATAGTAGAGTCTATCAACTTTGTTTTGAAAAAAACAAGAAATCTGCCCATTTGCTCCATGGTCAACGCAACGTACACCCGCTGCAACAAATTTTTCATTGAAAGAGGGAGGCAGATAGATGTCATGATCAATGTTGGTCATGTATCCTCTGAAATTTTGGTCACAAATTTAGAGCAAGCACAAACACAGGCGAATATGCATAGGATCATAACTTTTGGTAAATCTACCACAAAATTTGTAGTAGAAGAAACGTAAAACCCACATGAAGTTCGACCAACAGGGAGGTTTGCAGTTCACCTTGATGAGTTGTGGTGTGACTGTGGGAAATTCCAGATGTCTTGTTCACATGTTCTTGCTGCATGCAAGCATGCACACCATGACTTCAGCAACTACATTCATCAAGTTTATACCTTACAACAAGTTTCAAAGGTATACAAAACATAATTTGGGCTGCTGCGAAATGAAGAATATTGACCAACATACGCAAGACCTACTTTGTGTGCAAATCCAAAAATAAAAAGAACTTCAAAGGGCAAACCAAAATCAAGTCATATAAGAACTGAGATGAATATTACAGAAAATCAAAGTATGATGAAAAAATATTCATTTTGTCATACCCCTAGTCATAGCAGAAGAACATGCGCACGTGCATCTACTTCGCATCATTAGACTGTGTTAGTTAAGAAATGTCTCAATGTACTATGAAACGTAGGAGTTTTTCAATTAATAAAATTTCTTATTTGCTTGATTAATTTAGAGTAATTATTTTTTATTTATACAAATAAAATTATAAAGTATTATATATAAACATATAAATAAATTACTTTAAATATACATTAAATAATTACAAATAAAAAATATATATCAAATTAAAATTTTAAAAAATAACTATTTATAAATTATATAAATTATAATTATAAAGTTAAAAAAATTTATATTTAGAATTATAACCTTAAAAAAATTATAATTATAAAATTAATAAAAATGTATCTATTTTTAATGTTAAATAAATTATATATATTATATAAAATATAATTATATATATATATATATTACATAAATTAAAATTATATACATGAACTTCAAATTAATTAATTATATATATATATATTGCATAAATTAAAATAATATTTATAAACTTAAAAATAAATTATATTTAGAATTATAAAAAAATCTATTTATAAAATTAATAAAACAAAAACAAAAACTAAAAAAAAAAATAGAAAAACCGAGTTCAGAATTTGGTTCCCCGAGGATCGAATTCTGACTGAAAAAATAAAATAAAAATTAGAAATGATAGTTCAAATTTCTGTTCCCCTGGAACCAAATCCAAATGTGAACACTAGATGGGTAAATAATGTTGTAGAGATGTTATTTTAGGAAATATTTTTTAAAATGATATTATTTATGAAAAAAAGTCGCAAGTTGACTGGCCTGTTGTTGTTATTGATAATATGAGAAAATCATATAGGCTTCCTCTCTATCCTTTACCATATTCTGTGTTTTTGTCCAAGGTATTTGAATATGTAGGGGTTAATATTGATGGTGAATCCTTCAAAACTATGAGTCATGTCAATGTAATTGGAAAGTCTACTCTTCATCATATGGGATTGATAAAGAGGAATAATGGATGGTTCTTCAAGGATGAAGATAAATTTGTTGATGAAGGAATAGAACCAATTAATGCTGATATCCTTTATTCTTCTGCTAGGAGTAATTTTTCTGCATTTGAGTAAAGGAGAAAAGCTTGATAGTATACATCTATGGCAACAAGAATAACATCAGTACTATTGTTCCAGATTTGATGCACTAGATGATTAAGTTGCTTCAATCATAAGCATGCTACAACCAGAACATGATGATACTGACGTGGAAGATAATGGAGATGATAGTGTCCAAATATCATCCAACAATGATGATTGATTATCTTTTTCTCTGCTTCATGTTTTGATTTGACAAATTTTATGTTGTATTGTAATAACTGTCATTTACTTTAACTGGTCTATAACTAAATATTGATTATGACTCTCTTTTTTATATTATGCATATTAATCTTTCTGCATGTTTAACCTTCTTTTATAAAGTCTAAGGGGGAGAAGGAAATAGTTTACTATTACAGGGGGAGAAAGAAAGAATCTACTAAATCTACATAAAGATTGTTGTTACTGCTGAAGAACTTGTGATCTTATTTTTTGTGGTTGGTCATCATCAAAAAAATGGGAGATTGTTGATGAAGAGAGAAGATAAACTAGGAAATATTTTTTTGATGATATCAAGGTAGTTACGATAGTTAGTTTGTATAAAGTCAAACAAGCCAAACTTTGAATAATCAAATATGTTAAAATAACGTGTTAATAATTGATTAGATAAAGGGATAATCGATTATATGACTTAAAATTCAGTTTTCATAAGATGCGCTAATAATTGATTATGTGGTTGCTTAATCGATTATTTGTCAAAAAACTTTTTTAACACAACGCGTTAATAATCGATTATGTAAGCACATAATCGATTATCTGACTATTTTCAAACTACCATTGCACTTAAATAATCGATTAGATAAATCTGTTAATCGATTACCTGTGACAGTTACAACAGTTTTTTTTTTTTATAAAAAGATGCAAACTTTCTTTAATCAATATCAATTTTCAAATACAAACACAAACAATTAAAAAGAACGTTTTGGACATCAAGAAAAGAGCGTAATTTTGCAAAAGATTTTGAAGTTCAATTTTAAAGAAAGATTGTTTGGCTGTAGGTACATAATTCTGCAAAACCAAAGGTAAATTCATTTCATCTCTTTCTTTTGTACCTTGTTCTTAAGTTTTGATGTATGTGAGGTTAGCTCCATCAAGGTAACTTGAAAATTGTGAGGTAAAACTTTGAGGGTTGTGATCTTGATTAGAAGTTGTTGTAAATCAAGATCATTTGATTAGATTGTAAATCTATTATTAAGTGAAAAACTCCAGACTAAAGTTGTTTGGTTAAAATGAGATGTAGATTCAAGAAGAATCGAACCAGTATAAATTTGTGTGTCTTTTCTTCTTCTCTCTATCTTGGTATACTTGTTTTTCTAAATTGTGATAATTCTTTCATAATTGATTATCCGAAAGAGTTCTTTAAATAATTGATTAGAAATTCAAAAGACTTTTGAAAACCCAATTCACCCCCTCTTAGGAAAGTTCTGTAATTAACATTTTATTAACAAGTTCAACTTATAAATTAATTTTGATCCAAATTGAATAAAGTATTTAAGAAGTTTAATATGTTACCTAGATCTGTTATTGGATCACTTTATTGGATAAATCATATTATACCCTTTTTTATCTATAGTTTTTGTAGTATGAGCTAAAATACTATGTCTTTGTTATATATGATAACGACGAACAGATTTCACAATATATTTAAAATAATTTGAGGAATAAATCTAAACATTACAGCAAAATTTTATTAACTGAGTAAACTAAACTTTACATCAAAGTTAAATCTAAATTTTGCATTTTTAAACCCAAAAATGACTTCTCAACACCATCAAACCAATTTTTCAGCTACTTCTGTAGTAGACACTATACAAGTCACTGAAGATGGCTACACTGCTACTTGAGACAGCCAAAAGTATCATAAACCATGACAACAACTTGTCTTTCTTTGTTGCAACCCCACGACTATCCCTGCAAAAGAATAATAATAATAGTATGAGGAATCAAAGATTGAGAATTTGCATAGGCTCTTTAACCACTTATGTCAGTCAAATTGATTTTAGTTTATGAAGAAACTCAATGCATTATACTTTCTTATCTTTTTCCTTAGGCGTGGTTAACTTACCTAAGAGCAATAGCAGCTGGAAAGATGTATCCAGCAGAAACAGCAGCAGTGGCCCCTATGAATTGGAAGGCATCCCAGATGCTGGGAACAAAATTGGCTCCAACAAAAATGAAAGCCATGAGAACTGAGCTCACCAGATAGAATCTCTTGGTGTCATAGGCAAGAGGAATGGAATGAGGAAACAAAAGACCATCTAGATTGAGGCGAAGGGAGAAAAACACAATTGGGAACACAAGGATAAGGTGAATGCCATAGCTCACTCTAACTATATCAGTAAGAAATAAACCATAAGGAACTCCCAGATCTCCATCAAAGTTGGCTAGTATATCATCCAATGTTTTGTCTCCGAATAAGAGAAAACCAAAAAGGCCGGTTGCTACGTACACAGATGAGCATAGTAAGAGTGATGTCCGGACTATGGCCTTCATTTGGGAAGGATCTTTAAGTTCATTCTCTATAGGGTGAACTGCATTAGAATTCAGAAAAGCAAGGGTATAAGATTTGTGTGGATGGTAAACTGAAGTATGTCATACCATGCATTTTAGGGAATTAAAACTGCAAATGAAAGTTCATTAGTCGTTGTACTAATTACATTAAGCTTTTCAGATAAGATACCCAAATAATCTGACCTTCATAATCAGCTTTGCAAATCAAGTTTTCAGTTTACATGAGAAGGTAGATGAGTGCAAAACTAGGTTATTATTTGATGACTATAGTTCGTGAAAAATTTTGTTATTGTGAGAAATGAAAATTATTAATTAATCTGGATCACACATGATGCAGTTATTTACAAATGGTTAAGATTAAGAGTTAATTAGTGATCATTTAATCACTTGTTAACTTCAACGGAAGACATGATACCTCATTCATAATAATACTATCATAAATCAAAAGAACTAGAATAAATTTGGAAGACTAAATGGAGGATATTTAGGTGTTTGTTATTGCAATGCAATGGTTGATCACTATTTACTGAATAAGAGAATAATTGGCAACAAAGTTAAGAATCTACCATCCTACATGGCACTTACCATTATGATGACAGTTGTAAGCAGAGACTAATATAGGAATAGTGGTGAAAAGCTTCCAAAACGACTCAGGGCCAGTGAACTTTGGCATTAATCGAGGCATCTCAATGCTTCCATCGATAAACTTTACAATTGCTATGCCTGCTGTTATCACCACAAATACAATAGCCAACCCCACAGATAATGCTGAGGTGTATCTCAGTGAATCTGATACAGTGGAGGCAAGGGAATGGTAAATAATGCTATTATTTGGTGATGCATCATTAAGTAAATTTCTTTTGAGAAGTGTAATAAACTACTTAACCCGTTATTTGATTGCTACCTTATTTGAGCGTACTCCTAAATATGCCTTTTGGTTCTCATTTTTCCACCAAGTAAAGTATAATTTCAGCTAGTATAAATGATGGAACAGTTTCACACATTCAGAGTCAGCAAATAACACCGTTAAATAAAATTTGGTTTATCAAGATAACATATGAGCCATTTTATTATTGTTCAACGGTTTCAGTTTGTTGACTGTGAATGCGTAATCTAGTTTTTCGTTTTTTTATGAGGGAATGCCTAACCTAGTTGATTGAGACCAATCCGAAACCAAACTACCACAAAAAAAATATTTTGCGAATTTAATATATACTATTTCAATATCTAATATGCGAAAGAAAAAGAATCAATGTTTTAAAAGTAAAAGAGAAGAAACATACCCACACGCCGGAATGACGCAAGAGGCACCAAGACCAGAAGCGTTATGAGAAACAATAAAACAGCACGCGTTGACCACCAGCGTTGACCAAACCATTCTTCCACAACCCCTGAATAGTGCACCCCATCTGACCATGATCCTGAGAACACATCACCTGTCACAAACAATTTTAGTTACAACATTTTTTACATCAACCTTCCAACTTCAAACACCTAAAACTACCCCAATTAATATATAATTCAAAGCTAAAACACAAATAATTGCTCCTTCTAAATTATTTATTTTAAAAAATATATTTTTCGGGATTAATTTTTACTAATATGTCCCAATCAATTTAATTTTAGCCTAGTGTCTAATTTTAGCGCGGGCATGTCCCTTTGGGCTATATACCCATAAAAGTCAACTTTAACCCGAAATTTAATTTTAATTTTTTTTCAAAACCATGGAAAAAGAAACTATATATCTTTTTTTTTTTCAATCTTGTTGGGAAAGGCTGCTTAACCGTTAAATGTACCAGTTGAAGTTTCAAATGTAACTGCATACGATTCAAGACATGATTTGATTCCTCCCACGAGACAACGAAGCAAAAGACAATGAGAATTACAACAATGATTATAATGAAAACGTGATAATACCGATGATGACCATGTACACAACGAGGATGCCAGCATTGTTTACGATGATGCAAAGGAACAAGAGGTTCCGACCAAGGCCACCAAACGCGTCACGCACAACCCCGGAATACGTTGAGGACTTGGACGCGCGAGTGAACCTCACGAGCATGGCGACGGAGGATTCTGTTAGCATGGCACACAGAACAATCATGACTAAACCTGGAATCAGCCCCAGCTGCTTGATGGCTGCCGGAAGAGCCATGATGCCAGCGCCGGCAATGGTGGTGGAGAGGTTGAACACCGCGCCAGAGAAGGAGGAGCCGTCGAAGCCGCCTTCAGAGGCGTCATGTTTCAAGGAAATGGATTGAAGGTGGTGGGCTTTGGGGCTTCGCCGGGACTTACGGTCAGAGAAGGGTAGGGTCATGGTCATGGTTATGGTTATGTTTATCAAACTTGTGTGTAAATTACAAAGCCTAAGGGAGAGAAATAGAAACTCCAAAGATTGTTGCGTATGGGGGTTTGGCCTTTTAATTGGGGCACAATGGTATCAACGATCAATGAGTAAGGAGTACTTGAATGCACGTTTTGGTCAATTGATATGAATTTCGGTTGACTGCTCATCCTTTTATAAATGATTACGATGTGAACAAAGCTGTTCTATGCTGGAACTTTTCCCACTTTTAGTTACAATGTTTAACGAAAATAACATGGAATTTGTTCTCACAACTATCAAATTCATACATGGCTATCTACATAAAAATAAGATGGACAGCTTTTTCTCTATTTTGGTACATTATTGCATAGCTCCTGTACGCTGGCTTTCTTGTTTTCGGTGGTTCTAATATTAACAAAGTCTTGATGTCACATCACTCAGACTTGATTCCTACAGATAATCTGGTAAGATAAATTTGAGTAGTCTCATAAAAAATTCATGCTAAATTACCAACAGCAGCAATAACATATAACGTCTTTTTTGTGCACCCCCACATTTCAATATAACTTAGAAGTGACACCTATATTATTATTATTATGGCAGGGTGCTCTTAAGATATTATGGAATTTATATAAACAAAATATAAATAGTAACACTTACGATAAAATCAAGCAAATTAACAAAAGGAGTTATATACTGGTGAGAATCAATCACGTTATGATGAAATATCAACTAATGTAATTTTAAGTAATATTCTGGGTTTTATTTGGTGTCGAGAAATTGATCTTTAAGTCTAAGATTATTTTTGAGTTGCAGCAATTTTGATATTTTTTAACCAAAACATTTATTAAGTTTTATTACTAACTTAATTTTAAAATAAAAACATAATACATAAATCACTTTCCTTCAATCAATATCAAATTACACACACCATCTCCACCGCATTGTGTCAGCATAATGATTCTATGTTCAAGAGAATGTCTACAAAAAACCAGACACTTAAATTTGGTCATAAGTTAAAACGAAAATACCTCATAATGATTAGTGATTACTACTGTCCAATGTTGAAGGACAAATCCCCAACATCACGAGGGGATAACTAGCAGGCTCTAATAAGAACATATATTGCAATTTCATTTGTTGCTCATCTACTAATGTCAATTTTTTCTCTTCCTTTTAGAGCTCCTGATTGGTTTGGTCTTAGTGTCGTCCTGATTTGATTGGGATGCTGATGACTGCGCCACGGCATAACTCCACAATGCCCTTTCTACATCAGATGGGGTAAATGAGTCCACTTCTGAACTTAGTTCCTGCAAATTACCAGACAAATTCCTAGAATGTAAGTGGTACAGTAACTACATCTACAATTCTAGTTCACATTATTACAAAAGATTTTCACATAAAAAAAAAAAAATTATTGTCACTCTGCAACAAAAATCAATTCCCAAATCAAACCCAAAAGAGCCTAAAAATGGTCTCCATGCAGTTGCAGCATAGAAGTTTTTGGAGTCTCCACAACTGCATCACGACTACAACTATGGTTGCATTAAACACTTTTGTTTATAATTTTCACACAATTAAGAGTCACGGCACAACTTCAACTAAAACCTTGGATAATATCTTGGTAATCACAATGCCCTTTGGAACAAAAGGTACTTATGCAACTCTATCCATAAAATTACTTTCATTACAATAACAGTCCTTCTTTACAATAAATAAAATATTTTACAATCAACTTATTCCTATCTTCCTACATTAAAACGTAAATACAAGCATGAATCCTCACATTGAAAGGCACAGAATAATACCTTCGCTTTCATCTGCAACTTATCTACGAATTTTAGATATTGCTTCAGCGAATAATCTTTTGAGTTTCCAAGAGCTGCCTCCATAGCCTGCAATAATAATGAATTTTTATATATTGTCAATATAATTTTACACATTAATAAATCATAAATCAAAGTTGTAATAACAGAAATTATTATTATTATAAACGTCAACTAATGTTATAAATTATGATTAGATGATTTCTGCATAAACTTTTTTTTTCAATACCCCCAAGTATCTTTCTTAAAAGAAATCCCGAGTATAACACCACGGGAATAATCCGATGCACAGATTATTTACTCTATTACTAATAGCAACAATAAATTGAGTGTAGACTACCAGTTTAATCATTAAAATTGTGGAACATTGTTGTAGTAGCCTAAATTATAAAAAATGTCAAGTAAATCCATGAAATCAATATTTATCAGTCATATTAGTTCTTGCTAGTAGTTCTCAGACACTATAAATGATAATAAAGTTATAGAATGTCTTACAGACTTTCAAAATCGAGCTAATAAAAAAACAGGTATCAAGGCAAAAAATAAGAATCAATCAAAACTGAATTAAAAAAAATCTACTTTTTCTTCAACTTTAAACTGAAATTTAAAAAAAAAAAAATCAATCTACCATTTTATTGTATTTAAGTTGTACATGTCAAAAATCAAAGAATTTTATTTTAAATTTTTATAATTTGAATGACTAAAGTGGTAGTTTACTCAACAAATTAACAGCAATGAACCTCATCAGACATGAAAGGGGTTAAGTGAGGGGCAAAAGCAGCCAAAACGGCAGACGCGGTGGCGGGACCAACGCCTTTCAAGACAGAGAGTTCGGAGACGGCTTTGGATATATCGGGAAGGCTCTGAAATGCCTTCTCGGAAGCGGATTTCACAACGGCGTCGTCTAGGGATGAAACGAAATCCAACAGACGCGGCCTGAAAAAAAATTCAACCAAAATAAACAAATACCCAAACAATCAGTACCGTATCATATATATATATATATATATATATATATATATATATATATATATATATATATATATATATATATATATATATATATATATATATATATATATATATATATATATATATAAAGAGAGAGAGAGAGTGTAGAGACCTCCATTTTCCGCGCGTGAGCTTCCATTGCATGAGAGTGGAGAGTTCTGAAGTGGTGAGAAAGGGGTTAGGGTTTCGTTGGCGAAGGAGAGAAGGAAGGTGGTTACAGTAGAAGTGATCGAGAGAAACCAAATTGGGTTTGGATTTTGTGAGCGAGAGTGTTTGAATTCGAGATGGATATGCAGAGAGTGCTTCCTTCCACACGCTCGCTTCTGAACATCCAAAATCCATTCCCACCAAAACCCTCTCTCTGAATCAATCGCTCCTTCCCGCTCCACAAAAATTCGATTCCTCCTTATGCTTTTACTATGTTAAATTGTAATATTTAATTTTACATTTGAACTTTTTAATTCTGGCTCTTTCTTAAAAAAAAATAAAAATTATCTTGTATTCATATTTATCTAAAATAATAATATTATTATAATGTAAATAGATTTTACAAAACTCATTTTAAACATTTTTTATGGAATTTTTTAAAGTTTTTCAAAAACTTCCAACTTTCCAAAAATATATTTCAGAAAATTGAATTTAAAATGTTTTTGAAATTTTTTCAAAAAGTTAGTTCAAATTTTTTTTTTAAATTCTAATTATATTTTTGAAAAATATATTTTGAGTTCAACAATATAAAATACATTTCAAGAAAATAAAATCTGAAAATATATTTTAAATTCAATAAATATATTCTAAATTATTGAATTCAGAATATATTTTTAAATAGTTAAATTCATAATACATTTTTAAAAAATATAATCTAAAAATAAGTTTCAAATTAACCTATCTAAAATTTATTTCTAGATCGTATTTTTTAAAAATATGTTTTAATTCTAGATTTCATAAATATAAATCTAATATTTTTTTTACAGGATTTATGTAGTACATGTTTATATTATTTAAATATAAATCACCAATCAAAATTTAATTTTTAAGTGAAAATAATGCTTAAATAAGATTAGAAAAAAATACACAGACAATTGTAAGAGTGCTAGTATAAAAATATGTATGGTACAGAGGAAAAAAAATTAACCTCAAAATGTTTTTGAAATATTATATTATATTATATATATTTTAAGAGTATCGGAAACATTATTGGAATAAAGGGAGAAACAACTTTTGAAATGAAGAAAAGCCCATTAAGTCCCTTTGGTACAAGCCCTCATATTTGGCAATTGGACTCTTCTATTAATGTGGTCCACCCTTTTAACACTCTTTCGTTTCATTGATTAGATTTTTTTCTTTTATTTTAAAATATGTCCACACTTTTACCACAGTACTAGTATTTAAAAAAAAAAATTTAGTATTTCACATTAGATTATGAATTAAAATATTTAATTTAGAGAATGAAAATTTTACTATTTTCATTATTTATCTCAATTAAAGATTATTTTTTTTTTCAGGGATGGCAAATTATCTCAACTAAAGATTATTAATAGTTTTTTCACTCATTTAGATTTAGATGAAGATGGTAAAACATGTCGGTTTGTCCCGTTTTGAATCATCCCGTATTTGATCCGTCAAAAACAGAGTGGAGCATGCTAGTTTATTATAGTCATGACGGATTATAGACACGTGATCCACTCTACCAAAGGATGAACTGGCACACGAACCCACCATAAATTTTTAAATTATTTATTTATTTATTTTTAAATTAAAATTTTTAATAAATTTAATAATAAGATTATCATTTGTTTGTTAAAAATTTAACATATATAAGTTAATAATATAAATCAACGTGTTGTTTTAAAAAAATATAATTTAAGAAAATAATAAAATTTATATAATAATAAATATATAAATAACGTCAAAACTTGTAAAAATTATATTTTCTATATTAAAAAATTTAAATATCTATATATTTTTTATTTGATAAAATATCACATTGTATCTTTCCTTGAGTAATTTTTATATTTTTAATTCAAATTATAAGGATAAAACAATAAGTGTTTAGGATAAATAAGAAGAAGATGATGAACATCAAATAAAAAGGAAGAACTTGTATTTGAATGAGAAGAATATTTTTTATAATAAATAAGAATGAGATATTTTTAATTATCTTTTTATAATTTATAATTTTATATATTATTTTTATAATTAATTACATTATAATCAAAAATTTATTTTTTTATTAATTAAGTAGACTAATCAATAAATTGACCAACTTAACTGACAAATCAAAATAAACTTTGAAGCTAAAAGTATCAACCTATTTCGCTACATTATAGCAGACTAATTCTAACTCATCAAAACTTACCTATTTTACTATCCTAGACTTAGATATTGTTATTATAGTAAGTCTTCAAAAATATATACTTAGTATTTTTAGGTATTTATTTTATTTATCCTCTTTTGTTTTTATCTTCAAGTTTAATTTCAACATTTTTCTGTCAGTTATTTATAATTCAAAAATAACCTAATATTATAATTTTAATAATCTTTCATGACAGGAAAATAAATAAAAAGAGTTACAAAAAATTCACTTTGAAATATTCAATAAAAAAAATTTACTTATTTCAAAAATAATATTTGAAAATTTATTTTTACTATTATTTTTCAAAATCTAATAATATAAAATAATAATTCATTTAAAAAAATCCTTAATTCTTAATCTTAAAATAAAAAATCCACGTGTATGTATATAATCATTTATAACATAACAATAAAAAAATACTTTTATAAAAAAAAACATTTAGAAGATTTCTACGTGAGATTTAAATATATTTTATTTCATTGTTTTAATATTTTTTAAAAGTTTTGGTTTATATTTTTATAATTTGTATATATAATTCAATTTTTATAACTTATAAAATAATTTAATATTAATATATTATATTATATTTATTCTTGAAATTCAAATCTTTTTATATAATTTTAAATGGTAAGTTTTTTATCATGTCACGTACACAATGTTTTAATTAATTATAAATAAATAGACAGATAAAGTTATAAATATAAGTAGTTGCATTCAGAATGTTATCAATCGCAAAATCCACATAATGCAACAAACATTCAGAAACAAATTTCACTTTCCATTCCTTTTTCTTATTTTCTTTCTTTCATTTTCAACTTTCTCTACGTGCTTTATTGTGTTGCCCTATTCTTGTGTCATTTTCTGTTTGGAAGGTATTTCAAATGTTCACTAACACATATTACTCGATACTTTTAACTATCATACCAGTCATTGCATTTATATGTGTCAAATCTCATGAAGCACTTTTCTTTAATGCTTTTAGCTACGAAGTACACTGATTTTGACTACTCCAGACTTTTTATACATACAAGAATTTAATTTCTATATTGAAGGCTTAATATCCATATGTGGTTGATAGCTACTATAGTAGAGTTTGACACGACAAAAATTCTTATGAGTATTTTTGAACAATTATACCAATAAATATTTTTTTTAAAAGTTAACCTTATCTAAGTTAGTTTAAAATCTAATTTAATATCATTTTTCCGTTTTTAATTTAATATCATGTCTTAATTCAAAATAAATAAAAGATAACGTTTTTCAACAATATTTATATAATGATTATAATTTTAAAATTTTAATAATAATCTATTTATAATTATAAAAATATATCAAATTTTTTAATAATAATTTTTTTATAACATCAATAAATTTTCTATAATCATTGTTATATGTTTGTTACATATGACAACATTATAACTATCATTATATGTCTCGTTATATTTTTTAACTCGGATAATTTTGTTTTCAGTATCCCTATTAAAATTAAAGTATTTTTCATGGTAATTGTTTTATCCAGTTATTTTGTTATTTTGTTCTCTTTAAATACTTGTACAATCCTTTTATTATACATAATGAGAAAATATTAATTATTTCGACACTTGATTCTCACATACCTATTCAATTTATGGTTTCTCTTCATGCTTGATATTACATCAACGTATAATCGATAGGTTATTGGATCATTTTTATTGCTCGATATCACATCAATACATGCTCGATTACTTTTCTTTCACCCTCCATATAACATTGATGACTGACGCTAATACAATATACTCGATATCCTTACAATTCATTGATAATCAAAGTACATCCAATAATCTACTTATATTTAATACAACATCGATAAATAAGGCTCGATATGAATTGTTCAATGGCTACTCACTTTTATAATGAGGTATTAGAGTTCTTCATTTGAAGAACTTTGTGGTGCACTCTAACTATTTTTTCTTAGATTCTTTCTTTTCTTGACATCATTTTGGGTATCATGGAAAAATTAACAGACTCATTAAGTATAGATTTACTACCTCTTATGAACACAAATTCATCTTCCTCTACAAACAACTTTATGTATTCAAATGTAAATTTTTCGATAAGCTTGGTCTCTCCGGTTCTTGATACAGATAAGTATCATTCTTTGAGCATATCCATATTCACTATATTAAGCACGAAGAACAAAATCAAATTTGTAAATGGATCGGCATAGAACCTGCAAAAGATGAACCATCCTACATAACTTGGCAACAAGGTAATAACATGGTTCTTTTATAGATAGTGCACTTTATTTCTTTAACTGTATGTCAAAGTATATTATGGATGGATAAAGCTGAAAAATATGGAACGATCTAAGATCTTGATATTTTCAAGGTAATCTTTTATGCATTTCTGATATTCAATTAGAAGCATCTTCCATTAACACAAGGTGATCTTTCAATTATTGACTTTTTCACAAAACTCATACTTATTTGGGATGAACTTGAAAATTTTAGACATGATCCTACCTATACATGTTTAGCAAAGTGTTCTTGTGTTGTTCTTCTTATCATTCAACAACGTAAAAGAAAAGATCAAGTCATGCAATTCTTGAGAGGTTTGAATAAACTGTACAACAATATCATGTCACATGTTCTTCTCATGGATCCAATACCTTCTTTATCAAAAATATTTTCATACGTATAGTTCAGCAGAAAAGGAAAATTCTTGGAAGCAATACTATGAGTCTCAATCATAAAATCAATGTTGTCATATCGAATAATTCTACTTGCAAGTTTTGTGGTCGAATTGGTCGCACCGAGAATGTATGTTATAGAAAACATGGATTTCCCAACAATCAAGATAAAAATAATTGAAACAAGAAGTTTTGTACTCATTGTTGACAATTCAAGGACTTGATGTTGCACTTGATGAATATGAAGAATGGATTTTGATGATGATCCAAGAACTAAAGACTTAGAATATTGAAGATTGAAGATTGGTGATAATTGTA